AGCAGCTAATTGAGTCTGTGAAGCGTATAGATTATAAGGCACAATCGTACACAATACACGGGTTTATACAAGCACTCCAAATATGGGCTTACACTGTTGTCCCCGCTCTCGGAGCAAAGATCGGCCGTCCATCAAATGTTAATGGTCCCCCTCTTCTGAAGTTCAAAGGTGCAAAGGGCAAAAGTAATATTGATATACATTCCACCGTAGTTGAAGATGAGGTATGTATAATGCCACTTGTGTTTATTAATGTGTCTTACCTTAGAGAAATAGTAATCTTGTATTTTTTTTGAATTGTAGCTTAACATAAAAAAATTTGTAATTAATGCTTCGACATCCGCTGTTTGGGAGGATAACATTGTTGACAAGGAGATTCATGCTCTAGTCGACGCTATATGCAAGGAAGGAGGTTTAGGAGCTGTTACTTGGGTGAAAGATGGTTTAAACAACATCCAATTGGAAAAGAGCATAGAGGGAGAATTAGGTGTAAAGGGTGAAGAGGATAAAACAGAAGACGAGGATACAAAGATATCACGAAAACGCAAAAGAGAAGTGAATACAATGGGTAAAAGGGAAATAGAAACATTGGATTCAAAAGCATCACTGGTTTCTTTTAGTGAGATAGTTGAAGCGCTGAAGTTGAGGGTCGAGCAAGACGCAAAAAAGTTGGAGGTGTTTGAGGCTCAATTAGAGGCTATGAAAAATCAGGTACAATGCATCGAATTGTTAAGCTTAAGAGTTGAACTTCTCGAGAAAGAAGTGATGTTACTAAGTGAGAAGATAAAGACTAATGAGGTAAATCATAGTATTTAAGTTTGTTGTTTTAGTAGTATATATGATTTTGGCATATATTTGTAGGTGTGTTTTTTCATGTATTACTATGTAGTAATTAATTTAATTGTTCTTATTTGTGTAGGTTTTAAAACCATACCAGCTGAAAGATTATAGTGACGTTGAAATGCATTTGGATGAGTTGCATGCTAACCTAAATGCAGTAAATGATACAAGACAAAAGACTCTTGATTCAG